CTTTTTGCTCTTGAGCTTGCGCATGGAAAGGTATATATATTTAATAACAAGGGACCTCGTGTATATCGAGAAGTATCGACCAGTTACAAAAACCTCGGCTTCGCCTGAGTTTTTATACTGGTCTATATGACATGTAGATTATAGACCGGTTAGGAGGTCTATACAGGATATATAGACCGAGTAAAAGGTCCCCCGAGGTCTTTTACGAGGTGTACATGTATATATCCTGTATAGACCAACTATGAGGTCTATAATCTATTTATCGTGTTCTCCACGCAATAGTTTCTCTTCATATACGACATGATCCTTGTAATTCTAGTATTATACTATTGCCTATACCGCATTGCACGGCATTGCAGGATCAAGGTCATTGTTTAAACTAGGTTCAGCATCGGTAGCACAGTGGCTGGGTGGTAAGGAAGAGTGACTGAGATTCACATGGTTGTGGGTTCAAATCCCATCTTGTGTATTTCTGCTTTCTTTAAAAATTTCTTTTTCTAAGTTATTATTATTATTATTATTATTATTATTATTATTAACTGGTTTGAGGGAAAGAGACAAACGGGAAAAGTCTGAAGAAAAAATTATTATTATTATTATTATTAAACTCAATCTCGTAGCATGTGCACGCATTGCTAATGTGGGGAGCAACCCCAGAGATGAGGGCGATAACCAGCCATGGTAAAAGTACAAAAGAAAACAATAGAAAGAAAGGAACAGGGAGGAAAGCAAAGCTCAGCCAAGAAAGGAACAGGGAGGAAAACAAAGCTCAGCCAATTAAGTGAGATAGCCGGAAATTACATTGTTTAGCTAAACACGCGTGAGTGCTGCAGGAAAACGCAACTCAGTACAAACAACTTGGCGAAACTGAGACATGCTGTGGCAGTGGTGGGCGAGGCTTGATAGCTTGAGCCAGTCAGAATAGGAATGAAACAAAGGGGATTTTGTAAACTGGACAGTGCGAGCTACAGGTAGCGAGACTTGTGCCCTGGTTGAACGGCTCCGCACAAACCAGTCATAGGGAAAAAGATGCCTTGGTACTTTCTCGAGTTTTATCTTTTGAATTAGCATGTTGCTGTGGAGACTGCGTCGAATAGAAAGGGGGCAAACACGAGCGAGAACATAGAGTTGTGCAGAGGAGAAATCACGGGGCAAGCAAAATAGCATTTTTAATAATTTTCGTTGGCAAACTTCGAGCTTGTCTGATATCGTGGTTGATAACCCACACCACGCTACGTCACAGTAGTCGAAGATCGGACAAACATACAAAGAGAAAAACAGAGATCTACAGTCGTGAGGCAGATAACGGCAGTGAGGCTTCAGAGTTCCTAAAATTCTGGATGCTTTAAAGGGGAAGTTAAGGCAAAAATTAAAATTTCACCAGTTGTAGTCTTCGGGGTGCTGAGTCGAATGGTCGTGGTCCGACTCCGAGGAAGCTGAGACGCTCCCTTCCTACTTGAATCCCAATCGAACTCGCGCACTTCCACCGAAACTGGGTGACTGCGCCCTACGAGATGGGGATTTGTATGCAAAATGTCACTAAAAGCGCCATTTCGTTCTTATAAAAGCACGGATGACCGCGATTGGCCCATATGTTGTAGTCTTTTGGACGCTGAGTCGACTGGTTTTGGTCCGAAAAGGCTGCGATGCAGCGTTCCTCCTTTATTCCCAATCGAACATGGTTGAACAAGTGGTCACGTGCTCCTGGGTGCCCAAATCACCTGGTCACCACGCCAGCAGGTGACAACTTTCACACCAAGGTTCAACTCGAGTTCAACTCGAGTGACAGGACTGCACCCAAAAACGGTCAAACAGGCTAGTAAGTTGTACCCTGCAGGCACGGTGACCAGGTGACTGGCGTACGCAGGAGCACGTGACCGCTTGTTCAACCATGTTCGATTGGGAATAAAGGCGGAACGCTGCATCGCAGCCTTTTCGGACCAAAACCAGTCGACTCAGCGTCCAAAAGACTACAACATATGGGCCAATCGCGGTCATCCGTGCTTTTATAAGAACGAAATGGCGCTTTTAGTGACATTTTGCATACAAATCCCCATCTCGTAGGGCGCAGTCACCCAGTTTCAGTGGAAGTGCGCGAGTTCGATTGGGATTCAAGTAGGAAGGGAGCGTCTCAGCTTCCTCGGACCACGACCATTCGACTCAGCACCCCGAAGACTACAACTGGTGAAATTTTAATTTTTGCCTTAACTTCCCCTTTAAGGCAAATATGGTCAGCATGTTCGGACCATGATAGCTTCGAGTCAAGAACGATTCCCAGGTGCCTGTGAGAAGTTACAACTTCCAGGGCCTGGGTGCAGTTCGGAAACGTCAACGGTGCAGATAGAGAGAAAATGTCTAAGTCCAAGAAATTCTAAGGAGTCAAATATAAGTAGTCAAATATTATATTGTGTATTTGACTAAGCAGTCAAATACGCGATATATTTGACCGCTTAGGTATCAGGGAAATTAGTGGGGTCAAATACTAAGAAGGCGATAATTCTCGATATACACTCGGTCCCCTGTTATAATATATACATATTTCACGTACAAGCGTACTGTTGGGTTGTATTATATACATACTTAATTATACTGAGCTTGTATACAAACTCCCATCTCTCCCCACACAACACTCCAGACTTGTATTTTGCATACATGTATAACAGGTACTTCGATGACGAGAATATAAACTGGTATATAAACTGGTATTTAAACTGGTGTATAAACTGGTGTATAAACTGGTATATAAACTCCTTTTTTTTAGGATCACACTAGTCTGTCCCCGGGGAAAATTGCGGAAAAAAATCGCAAAAAACGCGGCAAAAACGCGGCATAATATGGCATAATTTGCGGTGAATATGCGGTCAATATGCGGTCAATATTATTGATATCATCTCGCGGCGGCAAGTTTGCAGGTGATATGAGGCAAAATTGACTATTTTCTGCATGTACTCATACATGTACTCATGTACTCAGGCATGCAGTCTCACTCGTATTTTAGCTCTTTTTCTGGAATGGATGCTGCTCTGCGCCCCTTGGTGAACCTTTCCTGCGCTCGTGGAGCAGCTGAAAAGGACCACTGGTATTTCTGGTTCCTGGTTTGAAAGTGGAGAGTCGACTTTTGTGCCTTGAAAAAGGAGTAGAGAGCGATAAAGGTACGTCTGTGGCTTATTTTTGAGTGCTCCTAGCACATTTTTGATCGTGATAGAAATTCTCAGACCAAAGTCAGACCAAAGTCAGCGCGATGATGGCTGTACAGTTTTCTTGTGGATTTTTTAGTTGTTTCATCTCGTATCTATGTCAGTATCGTGATGGTGAAGTGGAGAGGGTGATTTTCTTCCTCTAGGCTTCGTTCGGCAAACTTTGCTTCGTCCTCGTTGAAAAGTGATCCTGAAAAAAAGGTCGATTCGCAAAATTATGTGGATTTTCAATGTACGTGGTGACATGCGATTGCTGGCTATGCGCCTCCACGAAGACAAAGCGCAACATCAGATAGAACCATTCGTAATAGTTAAGTTTTACTGCGTCGTTGCCATTGCCATTGGTGTCGTCGATGTCGCTGAAATAATCGTGTAACAGGTGCTGCACCTGACGTTCGAGGCTGTCCTTCTTTCGCTGTTTCAGCACTCCATCTGTCAAGGGCAGCACTCGACATGTGCGGCTGAAGAGCCCCGCGTGCCGCTACTTTGAGACAATTCTTGGAGAAAGGCGAGCCCTCCTGCGTTTTTGCATCGACATAGAATGCAGAATTGCAGATAGCAAGGGCGACGGAACTTCACTATAGATGGTTTTCCAATCGATGTTCTCCTTTCCGCGTCCCTCGCAGAGCGCACGGAACATGCGCAGCCATAATCCTTGGCACTGCCAGTGTTCTTGGAAACTGCTGGTTGAATAATGGCATCGTGATTCGTGGTCGTCCTCAGAAGAACCAAAGAAACGTTTGAGAGTCGATTCAACAGGCTCGTGCTGATTTTTACTCTTACTTTGGAAAGGAGACGAACTCTATGTCTCTAATGAGCAAACGGTTCTTTTACAGAGCCCGCGGTGAGATCTGCGCGCGGGCGGTAACAGTCACTAGCACTGTGAGGTTCAAACTAACTTACTTGGCGCATAGCTGTTACTTCCGGTGTAACTAGCACTAAACTGAAGACAGTGAAGTCACAAAGAGTGTGTGATGGATGATGGTACATGTACTGCACTGCATGCACTGCACAGAGTCAGTGGTAGTCTTGTATGTACTTGCTCCGCACAGGTTGGTGAAAGGAAGACTCGTCGAGCCATGGTTGTGGGTTGGAATTCCAATCTCTACCTTTGTGGAGGAGAGGGGAGTTTGTATATCAGCTGAGTATAAGCATAATAATTATAACCTACTCAGTTGATTATATGGGAAATATAAACCTGTATACAGTGTACAAACCTCGGCTTCGCCTCGGTTTGTATACAGGTTTATATTTCCCATAATTATAATCAACTGGTTAGGTTATTATTATAATTAATTATACTATTAATTATTATATACATAGGCCATGGTAGACCATGTATGATGTAGACACCGCCAGCTAGCCGGGTCTGTGTCTTTGACTACAGCCTAGGCCATGGCCAGGGTGTATCACGTCTTGCATTCTGGACCCGTGTCTACAGCCAGTAGAATCTACCTACAAGTACAAGTATATACTAGGCTAGATTTCATCAGAGTCATCTCCTTTGTCGGTCGGCTCCTTTTGCAGTGTTCATGGTGTTGGTCTGCTATGTCACGTATGTGTCACACTCCCTGCCAGCGGGGTGCATGTCACACTGTCCTGTTGCTTTGCTGTCTGCCAATGGGTTGGCCAAGCCAGCGCTAGCGCTAGCAACTGAAGCTTGATGAGTTCATTCAAACGCCTGTCGTTTTGTCGAGTCTTCTCTTCTCCGGACATACTCAAGTATCAGCGCTGTCAACAGTGTAATATACACGAGGTGCGAACTATGGGCGGCTGTAGACCATGGTAGACCAGCGCAGGTAGTTCGGCGATCGACTTGTACTGCTAGCATCAAGGAATCCACGTGCTTCACTCCGTCTTCACTCCACAAACTAGGAACTGTAGTTGTTTCGCATTATGAGAAAGTCACTCAGGTGACAAACGTTCTTGTTTGAGTCTCACCAAATCTGAGAATTTAGCCCAGTGTCTGTGTACTAGTATTCCGGCACCATAGTCTTCAACGGTATTGTAATCAGGTCGATAGCCCGGAGCAACACAGCTACAAGCTATCGTGACGGCCAGGCCGGGGAAGATGAGAGTCAGTCGTTCTCGTTTCTCCTGCGAGTGAGTGGACAGTCTAGTACTAGTGTCTTGACTTGAGTGAGCCGGTCACACGGCACAGAGTGACCATACCTGGTTGTTCTGTGAACCACAACGTTCCGCCTTTGTACATGTGCTGATGTGGTGACGGTCGCCCGGTGAACGACATTAGCAACTGAGCAATGAAAACTCTACTGGCGTGGATCAGGTGAGGAGCTACATGACTATTGATCATACAGATTGAACTACGGTCAACTTCGCTAATAACGACTGCGTACATAACGACAATTCGGGAATAACGACAGAATTTACATGCCCAGAGCAAAGTCCCATCCAACTGTAATACATATAATGGGACTTCGGGTATAACGACACTTCGCGAATAAGGACACTTTTCTGATGCCCCGCCGGGTGTCATTATACGCGAAGTTGATTGTAGTTACACCCCAAAGCTAACAAAGCTTGTGAAATGAGAATCGAGAGAGTAGGGAGGTTTAGTCGCACGTAATCCGTGGGTACTTTATGTGCGTGTGCCACGTGATACTCAGTGACCCACGTACAGACGTTTTCTGATCCACAACATACCGTGTATGGAGGCTCACCCACGTTCACCCAGAACGTGGGTGAAAATCAGAATGGATCACATTGTGCGAGCTGTGAGGGTGCTCAGCTGAAGAAGTTTCCGAAGAATGAAATCAAAATATTCGATGAGCTTCTAAGCTTCGTCTTTGACCAGGTTTGGGCCTTTCGCTTCATCCTTTTGTTTGTTCCGTGTGACTAAACACAACATTGCGAACGTGGGTCCATTGCAGGAACTTTACGTGTATCACCCACGTTCCCGTATCCGTTACGTGGGACTTAACCTCCCTAGCACTGTCTTGTAAACGTGGGAAGGTTTGATGGCCTGAAAATTTTGGTGAAACCAAAATTTGGCAATTTGGGGATGAAGAAATTTCTGCTTGTTCTGAGAAATCCCAAGAGCAGTTCGGACTTCGAAACTCCCCGTCCACATACACTCTCTTTCACGACACCCGCAAGCAGACACCACCAAAGTAGAATACCACTTTATGGCTCAAACAAGGTCGACCAGAGACCGCATGTGGTCAGGACAGGAGTTTAGAAGTCTCTTGAATGAGTGGGTCAAATGCTGCTGCTTATCCTCCCTCATAGGAGCACCTATTACAAATCTCATAGGAAATAACAGTCCCAGTCCCACCGATACACCCCACTCTTACACTGGTCAACGGGTTCAATCATCAAGATACCTGCTGGATATCTTTTCTCTCTCTCTCTGTACGTCTCTGTACTGGGTGGGCACGGACCAGTTTCGTGGAACCACGGTACAATGGGATGACGCAGTGTGCAAAGGTGCACGGTGCATAATGTCTGTCATGTCCATGTTTATGTGTACGACTTGTATGTGTACAGCTTGGCTGCAATACTGGGTCTATCGGCTGGCCAACAGGCATCTGGTGACGGAGGTAAGTCGTATATTATTCATTGTGTATGTTTTGTATGCACCAGCATAACAACAACAACATTCGTATTTGGAAATAATTTCGTACAACTAATGTTTGGAAAGAGCTGCTAATGGTTTAATCTGTCAATAATGTTCCTTTAATGGTGTCATGAACCCTTTTCTCTCGGTATTTCTGTGCAGAAGATGAGGACGTGTTCGGCGAGTGCGACTGCGCCGGGCAATCGTGTCCTAAGCGTGCTGCGGACGTTGCAATCGTACTCGACGTGACCTACTCTATGCAACGCTACTTTGGCTGGGTGGAGCAGCTCGTGGAGACCATTGAAACATGGCTCATCAGGAGAGGAATGGGTAAGGGTATGGAATGATGTGAAGAGAAAAAGTTGGTCGCAAAAATTACCAATTTTTCCTTGATCAATAGGCAGGACACGGCTGTTCCGAGTGCGACATTTATCAATTTGGCGGCGCACCGTAGCAACCCGCATCGCAACAGCTCGCGTACGCACAGCGTGCCGACGCGTGCAGTCTTTCCGCACATTTTTCAAATTTATCGAAGAAAGTTTTTGTTTTGGGGGCAATGGATTCGTGCTTTGGAGAGCTCGTATGAGGCCATGCTGGAGGAGAATAAGTCTACCAAGACCTGGAAGCCTCCCTTCGGCGAAGTACTGAAGTTAGTATGTCCTGGAGTCAATACAGGAATTGTTTTCAAGACGATGCAGTGTAATAAATTCTAGTAATGTAGTGCATCATGGAATTAGTTGTGCTTGAAACTTCGGAACAAGAAGGGGGCACGTTTGCTTGACTCACTACCATCATGACGTGAACAGATGGAACCCCACTGCTCTTGTTCTAGTACATGTTCTCCCCTGAGGACAGCTTACAGCCAGATTTCCGTGGATAAGAAAAGAGCACGAATAAATCGTTAGACTGATTGCAATTCATCTTGGAGAAGGAGAAGGATAGAATTCGATCGTCTGCTACTCTCTCAACGCAAAGTTGATGACATAGCAGCTACATGTACGTCTCTTCATGCGTGTGCTCTTCACCTTGGGATCAATGTGAGGATTTTAGGATTGCTGGAAATCAGATTCTGTATACTATTGGACAGCAGTTTCTGCATTGCACATGCTCCACAGTGCTCATCGGCAAGGATGTTGAATTTGCGTGTAACCCTTCACCACCCTACTCTCCATACTATTCCAGATCAGCACTAACTGAACATTGAAGTGTTTCATTTCCAGTAGAATGTGCTCCTCCAATAAGTGCGGCATTGGAGGCGGTGATATTTATTGCCACAGTTGCACTGCTGATCTTCGTCATGAAAGAAGCAATGGATGATGATCAAGTCAACCAGTGGGCTTGCAGTGATAAGCAAAGTACCACAATACATCATCAAGTGTCATAGCATGGCGGAGTTGGTTGCCAACAACGCTTCCATGTTGGTGTTGTTAGTGTACAAATAGAGGATATCTTCCAGTCTCCAACTTTTAAAGCACATGGACCTGCTATAGGTGTTATTCTTCTATCAATGCTTGTTTCAAGTCACAGAATTATTTAGCTTCTTACAGCTTTGATTTAATTCGCCGTATTGTAATTGATGTGAAGAAGAGGTTGATGCGATTTCGGCGATACTTGGGGAATTGTGTGTTGCTCCCTACGCGGGAGCTTGCGCTATTCCTGCCGACTTGAACTCTCACTTGACCGACTTGTTATTTTAAAATGAATTCATGGACATCTGTCAATTCAGCAGGTGAACTGCATTGCCATCAAGCCCTGAGCCAGCTCCATAGGAATGGCACCGCCGGTCATGAAGATGCGTGATGCTGTGTATCTTATTCGCATCAGAATAATAACCTGGTTGTTTCGGCTACACAATCCGGTAGCAACAGATACTCTGCATAATGCAGCTTGTACAGTAGTCCTCACTAAAGAAGAAAGCAGTTTAGGAGGGACTCTAGTGAGGAGTGTACGAGGATAGCCTATTAGTGTTCTACATAATCATTTGCATATTGAACATGTTACATGTAATTATCATGAACGCCGAGAGTGGTAAAACCGGGTACGGCCATCACCAGCGGCTGCGGCCCTGTCCTGAGTGCCATGCTGTGCTTAGTGCTGATGTAGTGCAAGATATATAAGCTGCATCATGGTTGTCGTTTGTTGTTGTTCAATTACTTGAGGTATTTCAGTATGGTCTTTACGCATGCAAGTGTGTGCTTTTCAGCAGGATCGTCGAAAGACTACATTGTGCGTGGCCTAAATCTGCAGTAACACTAGTAATACAAAAAACCCATGCCTATGTGTCTACACGTAAGGCCTCAGACAGATGGGGAATCTTGCATCTCTGACATTTAAAATTTCCACACAATGTCCTGTTTCTGCATACATTTCGAAAGCATGAATTTCAAAAAATGTTCATTGGATGCATGTCTGATTTGTACTTGCTAACATCCAGAACGAAGCATGCACGGATCCCTCCTATGACGGACGAAACCGGGGTCTTCGTTAGAAATTGAGGCAGGAGAACACACCTCCACTCGTCCTGCATATATCAGCAAACACTTGCAATTGACGTCCAAGTACGCCACGCAAATCGACTTGGGCACGAAAACGATAATCTGGGCGGCAATGAAAATATAACTACGACGTAGGAAAAGGACAAACCTTTCAATGAAAATTGGCGTGAAGGCTGCCAAAAATTCTGCACCCCTTAGGAGAAAGCCTCGAATGTGAGCCAATTCTGATAAACACCAATGGCCGGCACGACGAGGAAGAACGAAACGAAAAAGATCGTAACTTCACTTTCCCATTGCGCATTTTGACGATCAAAATATCTGCATGCGCAGCTTGAAGGCAGGAAGGTGAATTCGCTTAGACTTCGCGAATCCAGCGTAGAAAACGGCTGGAATCGACAGAAACATGGGTGAAACCTTGCCGAATATTTCCAGAAATTTGAAAAAGGCAGCAAGGTCGCGTACGACAGCATCATGGATCACTGGGGCGACGGGAAAATGTCGTACCGTACATAATGTCGCTGGATTATGCATGCATAACAGCCGTGAGGATGCTGCCAACAGTGAAATGTGTTCGCAACCTTCACCTTTATCGCAGTGGTGTGTGTGTGGGGGGGGGGGGGGGAGCTTGAATGCAGTGGGTTTTACAGTGTGTGAAGGGTTGGAGAAGTGTGTGTGTGTGGGGGGGGGGGGGGGTAAGTGAGAAAATCGAGTTGATAGTAGAGAGGTTCTGCAATACGTGAAAAAAATATTCGACGGGTTTGCGTACCGGGCAGGTCAAGAACAAGGAGTCGTACAACTCCCTGGTCAAGAACTAATACAATACAATACGTGAAACACAGAGAAATCTCGTAGGCCCGGGAACTCTCTTCGCGTTCCCATAACAAAAGAAAACCTGTTTTGCTCTACGCTCACGTAGAGAAATCACGTGGAATGTGTACTGGGAATTTCCCCGTCCATATTTGGCAGTGTTCTGCCTGCATTTGAATGATGCCCAGATCCGTACGCATTTTCCTTGGGTGTGCCACAATGTAGAGAGCCTCATCAACTCACAGTACGCGTAGAAATCTGGACCCCAAACACACGAAACCATAGGCTCTAACCCAGACACCTTCTCTCTACGTAATTTGTCTACGTTTCACGTGTAGCAGAACCTCTCTAGTGTTGAACAGTCCTACACACACCATGGGTAAATGTGCAGGTTATCATCTAGCGTGAATGCTAAATACTCACACTGCACTACCACTAAATTTCTATTTCCTTCACGTATTCCTCTGTACGTTGATTCTCTCTATATGGTGATTTGTTGTATTCTGTACTGTACAAATTAGACTGTATTCACACCTCTCAACTTCCTTTCCTATCACATAATAGCAGCAGGTAGATAAGCTTTTGGAAAAGACATGACAGTGTGTAATGACATAGGCATCTTAACTGTATTCTGCATCCTCTTTTTCATGCATACTGGCATGTCCTCACAGGCAGCGGAAAGTGCCAAAACCTTTACAGTTTGACCGTATTTGGACTGTCCGGGAATGCATCCTGCGGCAACACATTATCAAATATGGTAGGTACTGTATTCAAGATACTTGCTTTCACTGCTGCCATGTAGCGAGTGCTTATTGTGAAACGTGGAGTTGTGGCCGAAAGTCCGGACTTCTGTGTTTGACGTTACTGTTCCCGGGGACATACATGTATATGCACCTTGCTAACTATGGATCTACAGATGTTGTTGTTTGGCTTTATTTAGAGTGGAGTTCCAAAACAGTAGTATCATGCATATGGTATCATGCTCAGGTCCCCAACAAATGCCATGGCTTTACATCCATTGCTTAACATTCCTTGTAAGCTGTGTGCAAGCTCCACCAATCTACACGGAGTATGCATGGTTGCTGAAGACAAACGTTTGATCATGACGTGCTGTGAACCGTTGTAGGGCGCTATATTTTCGAACTACGGAGCTAGGTTTCGAAAACATCGAATAGTTCTGTGCGTTTGTGTGTTTCTGCATTTCTGCGCGCATGTGTGTGTTTGTTTGTACGTGTATGTGTGTATTAGTGGATGTTTGCATGTGTGTTGGTGCGTGTCTGTGTGGATGCGAATGTGTGCGCTTGTGTGAATGCCCACTTGTGCATGCATGTGTCTCGCCACACTGTTTACATGATCCATGATCAGGAAGATAGGTACATCATTGCCAAGGAGTTTCGTGACCTGATAAGTGAAATGATGGTCATTCGGAATCGATATGGAACTAGCAAGTAAGTCAGAAACAAGAAAGATGGTCCACATTTCGTATCAAAGAGAAACAGGAACAGCCAGCAACTAAATTCATATTGTTTATTGTGAGTATCCTACACTCCAATGGCACTCTTTCACAAACAATATTATTTTCGGTGGATATATTCGACTTGCTGGTGAGGTGATCTACTCACGTCCCACCGCTTTAGTAGCTGCATCTGCGCCTTGATCCTTGAAGGGTAGTGGCGTTCCTATGGATGCGGAAAACTCGGCCTCTAGCCGAGTCTGACGCGAACCGTGAATTATTTATTTATTTTCATTCGACAAGCTCTTGGTATGAAGAAACGTTACGCCAATGTATATTAACCCACATGCATGCACCTGCCACCGCACACCCAAGTGTGCATGCACACACCCGCTAGGCCTTGTGGCCAAGCGTAATAATATGATGTATACACACGCATGTATTCCACATTGTAATATGCTTGCAAAACTTGCTCGCACCAGCACACCAAGCATAGAACCTAGTTGGGGGGTTTGCCATTATATTTTTTCACATTTGTCGCTCTTTGAAATATCACCAATGATAGCAAATTGCCGTGTTAGCAAGAGCCATTGGTCACAACAAGCCAATGCATGGCTCATAATTCTTATCGCCTTATAACGAGCACAGCACGGCAATTTGTAACAAGCACAATTGGCAAACATGTCACCCGGCAACCGCAAACGGGTACATCGTTACAAATAAGGTGCCCCGGCAAACTCAACGGGAACGCACCAATACAAACACAGCCCGGCAACAGCAAACGTGTACGCCGTTACAAACATGGTGCCCCGGCAACAGCAAACGGGAACGCACCAGTACAAACACGGCCCCGGCAACAGCAAACGGGTACGCAGTTACAAACATGGTGTCCCGCCAACAGCAAACGGGAACGCACCAATACAAGCTGGCCTGGCAACTTCAGACAGGCACAACTGACAAACTACGGTACCCAGCAACAGCAAATGGGTACACTGTTACAACATCAGTCCATCACATCAAAATGGCGCTGCTACAACATTGCAGCAGCAACACAGCAGCCATGTATACGTGACCCTCCAAGCGATTGCAAAAGGGAGGGAGGGAGGGAGAGAAATTACCAGCCTGACACGGAAAGCACTTCTTGTCCAAAGGAAAGACAAACCAAACTGCATTCAACTAGCTACTGCAGCGCGCATAAAGGCAACAGTAGCAGCAGTGCAAAAAATGCAAATTATAACTTAGATCATACTCGGCACAGAATAATAATTAATGATATGCATCATGAGACCATCACTGCGCATGTGCCCGCGTGGGCTAACTTGGCTTTGATACTCAAAGCCGGCATTTATTGACTTAAAACTGTCTTTTCACATTGCTTCTTCATTATAATATCAAAAAGTATTCTTTCTAGACCAAAGAGTGGTATAATTATTTGATAACATTTAATAACGATAGAGATTTTTACGGTACTTCTCCAGACGTTTCGTTGTTCTGAACAACATCGTCAGTGGATAAGAATGGAGGGCTTTGGGTGGTGGCACGGGTTAATAGGGAGTGATGGTGGTGAGCTGAGGTGAGGTGAGAAGGTGAAGGTGGGAAATACATGTATCTAAGTTAATGGTGAAGGTTAGGTGCGGGTCGATACAGGTGGGAAGGGGTACACCCTTCGGGTAGAAGTGTAGGTTGGTAGAAAGTGTTGGTGTGCGTAGAAGGTGGAGTGGCGTAATGGAAGTGTCGGGTTGACAAATGTGGGAGAGAGTCTAGGTAGGGTGTGGATCAGCAATAGGTGTTGGTGTATGTGGTGGGTAGAGTACTAGAATTGGCAAGAGGTGTGTGTGTGTATGTGTGTGTGTGTGTGTGTGTGTGTGTGTGTGTGTGTGTGTGTGTGTGTGTGTGTATGTGTGTGTGTGTGTGTGTGTGTGTGTGTGTGTGTGTGTGTGTGTGTGTATGTGTGTGTGTGTGTGTGTGTGTGTGTGTGTGTGTGTGTGTGTGTGTGTGTGTGCGAAAAAGAGTAAGGTAGTGAGTATTGGTATGCGTGGAAGGAAGATGTGACAGAAGGTGTGCGCTATAGGCAAGGGGTGCAGGAATATTTTGAGGTGGTGGGTGGGACTAAAACAGGAGGTTGTGATTCATCTAGTGATATAATATAATGTCAGCAATAGCAGCAGTATATACAGAGAGGTGTGTGTGTGTATGCGTGTATGCGTGTGCGTCTATTGCTGATACACACCCTACCTAGACTCTCTCCCACATTTGTCAACCCGACACTTCCATTACGCCACTCCACCTTCTACGCACACCAACACTTTCTACCAACCTACACTTCTACCCGAAGGGTGTACCCCTTCCCACCTGTATCGACCCGCACCTAACCTTCACCATTAACTTAGATACATGTATTTCCCACCTTCACCTTCTCACCTCACCTCATCTCACCACCATCACTCCCTATTAACCCGTGCCACCACCCAAAGCCCTCCATTCTTATCCACTGACGATGTTGTTCAGAACAACGAAACGTCTGGAGAAGTACCGTAAAAATCTCTATCGTTATTAAATGTTATCAAATATACCACTCTTTGGTCTAGAAAGAATACTTTTTGATATTACAATGAGAGTGAATAATCAACGGCTTGTCCACCAACTCTTCTTCTTCATTATAGTTGTGAGGATGGCTGGGAAGCTATGGTTGCCGCGCTGAAGACTCCACGTCGCTCACAGCTTCAAGACCAGAGCTGCGTGCAACTGCTGACGGTTCTGGTGACGGATGAAGACCGACAGCCATGCTGCGATGCCGGGAATAGCCAAGTGTCCGCAGATTGCTGTAATAAATCCAGCAGCGTCGACCGTCGGTCTCTCATTCGTCAGCTGCGTCGGGACGGTGCTGAGGTTGCCATGGTGGTGGATCAAGAGATACACGGCAATCGTCATGGCAGCATCAAGCTGCTCGGAATTCGAGAGACAGATGCGGGACGAATCGGAATCGATCACAGTGCAGGTCAGTGTTCATTTCTGGTGATGTGTTCTAAGGATTTGCTTTGAAACAAGGCTGCAGCAGTCAATTGGTCACCCATTCAAACTATTATGATTGCTAGCACCCTATGAACTATTGTGTGAGCTTGGGACAATGATTTCGAAACAGACTGGCATCGTATATAGTACAGTACAGTTATCCACTCATCTGCATATGCACGGAGAGGGGGGGGGGGGGGGGAAGGGCTGGTGTGGGTGTGTGCAGAGTAGCTTAGTCATCCTTGCATGCAGTTATGCTGCAATTGCGATGCTTGACTTTAGCAGGAATCCAGAATGGCAATACAGGCAAGATCTAGCATTAGTCCTCACTAACAGCATTATAATGTGTTTGCTATCAGTATATATACGACTATGTGTGTCATACACCCGATATTCGCTCTGTGCTCTGTGTTGCAGGTGCAGCCGAAGGAATCCGTGAGGTTGCCGTCCGCCACATTCCCATCGGCTACCAGAACACACGCGCTGACTACACTAAAGTGCCGCTGAAGAGACAGCTGAACGGCACCGCGTGGTGTTTACGATGCTCCGAGCACAGATCGAGCGCAATGCTGCAGCTGATGGGTGCCGTCTTATCCCGCGAATGCGCCGGTGAGTGGTGAATGGTGATGTCCTGATTCAGGAAAGACCGGGAGAAGCAGTTTTAGGGTGGTCCGGCCATACGGTAGCCTTTCATACGTTGTGTTTGATATAGTGGGTAGACATAACTTCATCAGCATCAAAAAATGGGTTGGTGACCAACTAGTTGGTCTGGTAATGACCTCACCAACTGGACCGGCTCCAGCACGCCTGATGGGTGCTAGCTGTGGTGTCCCCTTCAAATTGGTGTTTCGCTGTTTTTGATCATTCACTGGTTTTTCGTCGGTCGGAATAATTGGTATGACTTATTTGGTGAAATTGCCCGACTTTTCCGTGTTGACTGAATATCACTTCAGGGTAGATTAGTTATCTCACAGGCAGGCAAGCAAAAGGAGATGGTGAAAACACATGACTGCGAAAGAGAGAGAGAGTGCCAGGTTCAAGTTCCACTGAGGCCCAAAGTTGATTTGGGAGTTGTTTCCTGGCGTAATGGGAGGCAAAGATAGGTTTTTACTCCCTTTACAGTGGGTCTGGCCCACTCACCTCCAATTGCTTTATTAGCTGCTGCACCTGTGTCTTGATAATGGAGGATGGTTTCTTTCCTGTGGATTTGGAATGGTCAGCCTGACTGAGTCTCACATGAAACCGGGACATCTGCTCTATAGTCATTGTGTGTGTGTGTATGTGTGTGTGTGTGTCTGTGCGTGCGTGCGTGTGTGTGTGTGTGTGTGCGTGTGTGTGTGTGTGTGTGTGTGTGTGTGTGTGTGTGCACGTGTGCGTGTGTGTGTGTGTGTGTGTGTGTGTGTGCGCGTGTGCGTGTGTGTGTGTGTGTGTGTGTGTGTGTGTGTGTGTGTGTGTGCGTGTGCGTGCGTGCGTGTGTGTGTGTGCGTGTGTGTGTGTGTGTGTGTGTGTGTGTGTGTGTGCAACTGCCGTCATGAATGCGAGCATTGCGAAAGACGGTTCTCAAGGCCACAGGACTTGCAACGCCACGCCAAATATTGTTGACTTTGCGATTTCTCTCTCTTCTCTTCTCTCTTCTTGTCGTTGTCTCCCGTTTCTGGGAGCGGCGTGGCCCGATAGGGTAGCTGTACATAGTAGTAGTAGTAGTGTGTGTGTGTGTGTGTGTGCGTGTGTGCGTGTTTGTGTGCGTGTGCGTGCGTGTGTGTGTGTGTGTGTGCGTATGCATGTGTGTGTTTGTGTTTGTATCTAGAGTGCAGCAAGATCCGAGGCCGTCCATCAGAGCCAGTCACACCCTTGACTACTACACCTATGATACCTACCACTCCTAGTGAAGGTGATTTCGATTACTCATTAGTTTTTAATGTTCAACTCGTATGGTGAGCCAATTAAATTATGTTGAAAAAGGAGAAGGACCTTGGACCTTTCCGAACCTGAGCCTTCCAAGTCGGAAGGTTGTTGGTTTGCGCCTTGGAGAAGTGTTGGAGCTAGGTGTCAGGTCACCGAATGTCTCAGTACTCCTTGTCAGTTTTGTGCCATTTTGTCGCACTTGCTGACTGTATAAGATCTGGTTACGTTGGTGGACAGTTAGTCATAACTCGTAACATTTTTTTAATGCATCTGTTCTTACATTCAGCAGGACTGCCGGAAGCTATTTTGGATTTGTCCGGTAGTATCTTGGTTTTTCATACTTTGTGTATGAAATAGCAGGCAAACATGAGCGTCACAGTAGGAAAAGTTTGTCCGCTGATAACCTGACCAACTGGACTGGTTCCAGTGGGCCTGTTCGATGGTGTGCTGGAAGAAACTAGAATGCAGGCTTATTCGCGCACATGACATTCTGCACCGTTCACTTTTGGTGTGGTGGCATTGATTGGCATATATGGCCAATTGCCCACAGTTAATTGGGAACTTGTGGTCTGTCACGTGGTCTCGTGGAACTCGTGGTCTGAGAGAAGCATGGATGCAGTGAAGAGGATTTTCGGTCTTTGACCGCTTTGTGGTGAGTCTGACCTACTAATCTCCCACTACTTTAGTAGCTGCATCTGCGCTTTAAACCTTGAGGGTGGTGGCGTTCCTACGGATGCGGAAAACTCGGCTTCTCGCCGAGTTTCACGCGAACCGTGAATTAATTGTTGTCTTTTTTGCTTTTGCTTCCGTTCAGTCCTATGCCCTGCACCACCTTCAACATTCCTGCAAAACGCAGACATCATCATTGGCCCACCGAGTTTTCCTGCTCCGCTGTCCGCTGCCAGAGTCCTATGGCGATGTGCATCTGGCTATCGTCCACTGCGTGGTCTCTACCAGGAATGCCAGCAGTCTGGAGAATCCTATGTGTGGCTGCCTGTCTTTACAAGCAACCCGTGTGAATGTAAGTGTGCTATGTCGTATTGGAGAGACTTCTTAATCCCGCCATGCACATTATCGCAGGGCAGCTGGTCATTACGCAACCCTGAGTTTCATACTCGCTGCCATTATCAGGTACAGTGATGATTGCTGATGATCGAGCTGACGTTGAAACCCAGAGTTGTACCCAAGGTAGACCTGCTCCACTGTTGAACTGTGTAGTGCACCGTCTGCCTCCGTTGCTTCCTATTGCTCTCAACACAACGGGTGTTGTATTGCTCTGCTATGACTTACTCTCTTCATAAAGAAGATCCTGGCACTGCAAAATGTCCGTAAAATTCTAATTGTTCTTGTCATCATGTTACGTTGACAAATATATGTAATATTGTAGTGATGTCATTGTGATGTCATTGTGATGTTGTTCCTTGTTCTGAACTGCATCTAGTGATCTCCTGTTCGAGTCTGCGGCCTCCAGAGAATGGCCTTCTGATCCCTGGCACACCATCATTCAAGCCTGGGGAGATTGCGAGAGCACCGTGTCTGCGCGGCTACCAACCTGTTGCCGATACAGTATACACGTGCACAGGCGAGGGCGAGTGGAGCGGCAGTGATCTCGGTGTGGGCACAGCCCCGTCATGCGCTGCCTGGAATGGTAGGTACTATACTCACATTGTAACTCTACTGTAAGGCAACCAATATTCGACGAATATTTATTTTCGGCTCTTTTCCGGCCTGGTCATGGTTGGCCGGAAATTTGTTGCACATTTGTTTTTAAAGGTTTAGTGTGACGGTGTATACAGGCAGCAGCAGTACATCCCGAAAATGTGATGCGGCAGAAATTGGTTTTAGCCCTGGCAGGCCGAAATTTGAATTCACCGAAAATTTGTAGACTTACTGTATATTGCAATAAACCGTATTGGTGGTGGTGTCCTGCTTCATTATGTAAGTTCTTTCCCTGCCCTGCCCACATGGCTTGATACCAGACTAACTTCCATTGGCTAGAGAATAACAGGCTCGCATAAATGTGTGGGTGGCTATACGTGTGTATGTGTCTGTGTGTGCATGAGTGTGTGCATGTGCGTGCACGTGTGCACTCGACTCTGATCCTGGAAATTGAGGAATTTTTATTTTTTAAGGCAGGTAAAGTGAGATTGAGACAGACAGAAAATGAGGCAGATCACTAGGAGACAGATTAGTGGACTAAGAGTGAGCAATTAGAAAGACAGGGAGAAAGAGGGAGGCTGTGTATGGATATATTACTACCGGGCGCCGAAGAATGTAGTGCCGAAGAACGACCAGGCAAGAATTTCACCAGGCACAGCATACCGATGCATACACAGTGACTCAACTGCCCATAGACTGTAATACATGAAAATAAGTACGATCAAAGGCTAGGAGGCTGACCCCCAGTTCTTCTGCGACCGACAGTACTATGGTGGTCAACACAGCATGTCTGAAACATCTCTTGTATGCTCTCTGATTCATAGAAACTTGCACGGAGATCGATCCTGCTCTGCCGGCCGGTGGGGAGATTAACCTGGCACCGCCATCTGTGGCCAAGAATGCGAGTCATAGTGCAAGCAAGGCCTGTATCATCGTCACCATGCCGGGAACGCCAGAGATCGTGCCGGGCTTAGACGTGGCTGAATGGCTCCGTGACAACTCGTTGCTGAGTGGCGTTGAGGAGCGGAGACTGCGCGGTGTGTTTGACAGTGTTCAATTCTGCCTGGTGGCGGTGCCGAAGGACACATGGTTTGGATGTGTCCGTACCATTGAGGAGTTTCAGGCGTTCCTTGGAGACCGCTACTCCTTCTATTCACAGTTGAGTTCTATGCCTGGTGATGGTGCTGTTCTAAATTTGCAAAACGAAATATGTGCTGTGAATCGAGCAGGGTGATGATTTTTTTTGTAAAGCTGTCAATAGTGGAGAATATCATGTACCAAGAGGGAGGGGATGTCACGACTTACCTGTAAAGAGCTATTTTGGGAGGGGATGTCAAGACTGATCTTGAGCACCCTAGTGTACTTTGTAAGCTACGCACGTTAATACGGCTCCAACCTGATAACGGGTTTGCGGCTTGTAGTCAGGGAGATACGGCAAGTGCCCAACCCCAGATGGAACTCCCGGCAAGGGAAATTACCTAGCCATACACTGAGATTTGAACCCGTGGCCAGTGCCTTGGTAACTCAAATCGACTTAGTTGATGTCATCCTCATTTAGTCCATTCATTCATAGTAGTAGGAGGTTTGACCAGACGAGGCCACACGGCTCCATCTCCTATGATGGGCTCCCGTTATCTCTGTTCTGAACTATGCACTTGCAATCATGATGTCAACATCACAATCTCACCTTCTCATCAATTTATCTCTTATTGGCGATGGTGCCATCGTGAGAATAAAGAATTCAAACATTACACAGTATGTACTCAGGATGTCGTCATTGCACAGTGCCCTTAGAATCACTAGGTCACAATTCCAAGTGTAATTGATCAAAATTGAACACATTACGTCATCACATGTATACAAATGCTAATATTTTATCACTGTGTGGGTTCGTCCAAAACCTAGGCGTAGGGTTGCGCCATCCTCGTAGGACAAAGGCCCACACAGATATGGATGGTCCAACGTGCTGCCCTTCAGATACCATGTAACATTTGTATCCGTGGAGAGCATGCGTGATTGCAAGTGCATAGTATAATGATGTCACCTCTTAAGGTTGAACAAGTGGTTCATGTTTTCTTCCTGCTCCAGAGACATCTCTGTCTTATGAGTATGATTGTGTCTTATTAATAATCACTGCTACAGGATGCACAGGGAAGAGTCTGAATACTCTGACACGTTCTTTACGCTGTCAAACGAAGTGAGCCAGCGGATATGCAGCGGTAAATCTGAGGTAGGGGCAAAATATGTTCATATATGTCACCCCGTAATTGATCTTTGCGTTACATACTCAACTTGATAATTCGAGTGGAAATTCTACAACCATGTTTGCGCTGCATGGGAAGTTTTTTGGCTGGAGAAAGAGAGAGAGAGTGTGTGTGCGTGTATGTTTGTGTACGAGCATGTGTATGTTTTCATGTGTGCATGTATGTATGTGTGTGTCTGCGTGAGAGAGAGGGAAAAGGAATCTGGGAGGGAGGGTGGATTCAGGTCTTTTGAAACCATTGCTTCATTGCATTTCAGCAATCATCAGACGGTACGGATGCTCAAGGTGGTAAATTACGTGCACTGCTTGATGATTAGAAGATTATCCTTTCTAGGTATTACGAAAGATCGCGAATGTATGTGATGATGTGCAATGTATGTTTAGTGTTTGTTTGTGCTTATATTTATTTGACTTCACCGAAATGAACATGCATTTTATGCCTTCTCACCGGTTGTATCGTGTTGTTGAATGCAGGTCCGCTTCGACATCATTTTCCATCATGAGGCGAAAGAGGATACAGTTGTTCCGGTGGAAGAGCTTCTCACCGAAGTCCAGTACCGGAGTAGCGTGGTGATGGTGAGTCTGGGTGTGAGGTTTGATTTGTGAGTCCGAATGTGACTCTGATTTGTTCATTTTGCAGTGCATGCCCTTCGAGGGTTGATGGCATACATGATCTAGGTCGAAATGTTCGGTTAACGTAGGAGTTAACCATTGTTAACAGGCACGTACCATTGCTTCGCTGTTGGCCTTTATAACGGGTTGCATAACCCTCCTTACGTGTGTGCACGATCTTGCTCTCTCTACATACTGCTGTGTATCATAGACATCACATGCCCACGTTCTGCGCATGCGCAGATTTCCTGTGCGCACAACAGAGCTTGCTGTCTTTCCAGTTTCCTTGCCTGCAGTCAGCTTTCAAATTCTGACCCACCCTCCTCATCCCATTACTTCCTCTTACACTACACTCCACATATTTTGAAACACACGGATGCGGGCACTCCTCCGTAACTGGCCTCTCGCGCACTACTATAAAACTCGTATGGGTCATAAACCACTCCTGCTCAACGAAGGCCGACCCACCAACTCGCATGGGTCACAAACCGCTCCTGCTCAGCGCAGGCCGACCCACTTGGTCATATACAGCTCCTGCCCTCAGTAGGCTGACCACACGATTCGTTAACGCGCACTCAATTGAGGCCAGCTACTCTGTCCGACATTCCCATTCTTCCAAACTCACTCTCTTGTCTTTTGGTGTGTCGCGTCCTGCACGCGTGTGTGTCTACTCTATACTCTAGCATGGGGAGTAGAATGTTAACTGCAAGAGTTTCATGCCAGGTAGCCAATTGAAGACCATGTTGTGTGTGTGTGTGTATGTGTGTGTGTGTGTGTGTGTGTGTGTGTGTGTGTGTGTGTATGATGCTAGTGACGCTTAGATCTGATCCACTCTGATTTAGCCACCCACACTAGTAGCAAGTATTACCTTCACTGGGGGCAGGGGTAACTGCAGTTGGATCCCAGGACGGATACCCTGATGCCGTCAATCCTTTTTCTGCACCTTGTCCTCACCCACTTACTGAGGTGTGGTGAGCCCATAAGTGGGATCATTTTCAAGTCCACCCAGAGTTTTGGGGATTTCAGGGGGTGTCGGCCGTTGGGCGGTTCAATAGCCAGTTGAGTCATCTTTCCAAGATTCCTTTTGAGTCTCTCTCCCCTCTCCCGGGGAGACCCACGTGACCAGTTTTGGCAGTGAGCAACAAGTACAAGTACAAGTGTGTATGTGTGCGTGCGTGTGCGTGTATGTGTTATGTAGAAAATAACAATCCTACACGGTGTGTTGTGTGCCTTGTGTCATGTGTCTAGGTGATTACCGATCGGGACTTCACCAATACCTCAGGGACACCTGACAACTCCATATCTTATCAAAGGGGCAATAAAGCTGACAGCATTTCTGCAACAACATTGGCTGAAAAGGTAACAATAGAACATATGAGTCAGCACCTACGAGGATCCGTATTAGACCAGGACTGGATTACATGGATATGTGCATGATTGTGTATTTCCATAACAATGTCTTCATGGGCGCAGGCATGCATGTGTGTGCATTTGTATGTGTGCATGGATATGTGTGTGTATGTGTGCGTGCGTGTACGGTTGCATTCGTTCATGATACTGTGTATCCTGTGTGTGTTCTGTAGAACGGGTAATTTTAGCGACGTAAAAACCCTAGCGAATTTAGCGATCGACTCCTTTTCGCTAAAGTTTCAAGTCGCTAATCCGTTGAGACATGAGTAGTGCACTGGTGATCCGTGAGTAAAATCGTTGCAAATCGCTAAAATAAAACGTCGCTAACCGGTTGACAATGGGAAAACGATAAAATTAATAGTCGCTAAAATTACCCGTTCTACAGTATGTTAACACATAGCACAGTACTGCCTAATGAAACTTGGAATTGTCCTGCACCATAGTTCAATGATAGACCATTTACTGGATACTGCGGTACACACGAAGCGGTGTTCATGACACTCGCAATGGATGTCGTGTAGTGACTATTTCTGTACCGTAGTCACTGGCGGCAAAGGTTTGAAATCTCAGCAAGCTTTAGCAGAGTCACGAAACCTATTTCTGGCAAACAAAGAACTGTATGAGCAAGATTGTGAGGCATGGGGGGGGGGGGGTGGTGGGGGTGCAGATTTTGTTGGCAAAAATCCTAGAGCCGTGGGCGTATTTTGCAAACTTGGCACATACGGACACCGGATAGGACAGCTAAATTGATACGAAAATAGATTGTACCACATGGATTAGGTGTTTGAAGATTTGTGAACCGATTCTGAACTCGGATATGTAAATTCCAGGGTCTACTGTTTTGTATATTCCGACTATTTTTTTTCAGATTGCCTTCTCCACGCACGGCTGGGTGGCTGACGTGCGACGGGTATCGCTGGCATGGATCGGAACGACGATCGTCAACACCCTGCTGGAGCTGCGCACCAAGATCTGTCGTCGCTGCTGGTGCGGTGGTATGGCACCACAGCTCTCCTGCGCTAACCTGTACATGCTGAACGATGATAACTGCGTGTTCGGGCGAGTAGGAGAGGCGGGAAGATAACATAAATTCTCTTCAAAATACTTGAACGCAGTGTTTAGAGTTGAAATGGTGTGTAATTCCAGAATCGATTTTCTGGTCCGGTCATCAGCGGAAATTACGTAAATTCCAATGTTAATGGGAATGGAGTGTTTTCTGCACTGAGGAAGTCGGCTGCTTCCCACACTGGAGCTTACACCTTTCCCGCCAGCATCATACTGCCACTGTGTTGAAGTATTAATGTGATATATGGAGTGAGTGTTGGTCTGCGGGTGTGCAATGGAGAGTGCAGGGTGTACTAAATTATGAACAGAGATAGACAATGGCTCAGTTACTCCTTGTAAAATTAATCATGTCCATGCACTAGAGAATCTGGCCTACCGAAATGTATATCGGTAAGTGAAATACTTCAACGTACATGATTGCACAAAAACATGCCGCCTCTCCTTGTCTCCATGTATCGACTGTGTTGGGGGATGCTTTCCCAGAAGACCGTATTAATGAAGAACGTTTCTGGATATTAAACTTGGCTGCTCTGGCTAGATAGATCTATCATGAATGATCAGTCCATAGATATTGGTACATAAATTGACAGCTCTTTGTACAATGTATTATCACAATAGTTCTAACATTTGACACGGTATTGATGTAAAGTTGATCTCCACCATTTGGATCCATTCTTTGTATAATTATACAACCTGATAGAATATTCACGTAAATTTTGCAATACACATGTTATTATAGCGTTCATCTCCCACTTATCATGTTTACCCTGATGACAAACCTGGAGATCCAAAATTGAATGTGCCAGTTTTCCATTATTGTCCTAGATCCCTTCACGTGGAATACACTTCTCCTGCGTGCGAGCTCGGCCACAAACAAAGGCAATGCCTCAGTCACCTCTCAAACTTCCAAAACCTGCTTAGAGAGCGTTTGTGGACAGGCGTGTAATTACCGGCACTACGTGTGTCTTTACTGCCCCATGGATTGCACACACTTGGTTGTGATTCACACTTGCATTGCGTAACAATCCTTTACATGCATACATATATCGTTCACGCAATGGATTGAACCCAAATGATTGTTTTGTTCATAGGCATTTCGACATGAACTCTCTGCATACTTTGGGCACCCTGTGAGAAGAAGTACTCCTTTGACTGGTCGGTTGGGATTGACCAAGTACGTAACGTCGTTTACATGCATGCAAGGACCGATGGCGATGGTGTAGGACGGTAAATACATGTATGAGCCGGTCAGGCCAACACGGCAACAGCACAGGTCACCGCTAAGTCACACCAGCACGAAAACTATCTTTCTCGGAAACCGTCCACCACCAAGACCACATCCTGCCAAGTGCCAATGTCACTATGATACTCTGAGTCACTCGGGTACGTGCCGGGCGCTGCGCAGCCCTAGACCTGTGAACACTGGGACGTGAAACGGTTCAAGGCGCAAACTAAGTATTACTTGACTCACACTTTACTTGCATTTGCGAGAACTACTTACTTGCACGAATTTTGTGTAGTTTTGAGCGGAATACAATGTCAATGGTGCAGTGGCATCGACTTGTCACCTTGCCCCTTGTACTTGTAGCGAATCGTAGCCTGCACTGAAGCCACGGTACACCAAGTAGTCTACACTGTACATACGAGCACCGTGCTTGGCGGCCAGTAGCAGACTATTGGGCGCATTTCTCACCTTTCAGGACATGGCTTGTCCTGCACCCAGTACAGCAGTGTCCCAGGGCATCACATGTCACACTGTATGTACGGATTGGGCGCACTATCACACCTAAACCCGGAGAGCTGAACAAAGTAGGGAGTAGATGGTCTAGAACTCTCATTTAGCTCAGGTGTTGGTTTGGTGGAGGAACGCTCACTGCAAATCTTTCATGCTGCACGTCGTGTGCGGAAGCGTCTTCCTCCTCCTTAGGAATTGGTTTGTTTTCGTGAGTAACGACGTTACGTGCAATGAGTAGGCAGGCATAGCTAGGTACTAATAGCAATACACCACGAGTGCATGCTGTGCTCGGTGGGTTTTCCATGCGAGTCGCCATGGGGTCGTCTCCGCCCGCCGCACGCCTCCGCAGCAGTTCACCGGGGCATGCACAAGCTGTAGTGTTCTTGTCCGCTGCATTCTGGTTTGCTTGCCGCTCTGCTTGAAAAGTTCACGCTGTACCGGTCTTGTTTCCGTTCTTTTGCTGATGAAAGTACATGACATTGTACTTGTACAAGTAAGCTGCTTTTCTTGGCAAACTTACTTTTCCTCTTTACTCTCCCGTTTACAAGTCCGGTCCAGTTTTCCTCCGCCAAAACGTTCGTTACCTGCATTTGAGTGTGAATGACTTTGTAGCTAGTCCGCCATCACTTTACCTAGGTGCGGCTATTGTCCTGTCAGCTGTGCATATCAAAACCCCAGAACCCCACCCCCACCTGTGCCCATAATGCTTTGCTTTCCTCCACACCGCGGGTAGGTGGTGCACTACCGTGCTTCGTAGAGAGGATAGCAGTTATACGTCTGGTCTTGCAGGACTCGACTGTAACTGAAATCAGGGTTAGTCGGATTTCCAATGTGGGTGTTTGAACTCGAGGGCCTTTTAACAAGTGGGAAGGTGAAGTTGGTGGCATTGGTATTCATGCAAGTGGCTTCTTGGGTTAGTAGTCACATACACACAGTGAGTGTAGTAGCTGGGTTAGTGTGTTCGTTGGTTGGCTGGGAAGTTAGCTGTCGAAGAGGAGGAGTGGGTTAGTGGTGACTGCCCTTGGGGTGAGGAGTGGGTAGGTTTAGTCGGGCAGTGGTGACTGAATTGTGGGCAGTGGTGTTTGTATATGAGGACTTGGGCAGTGATAACTGGAATTGGGCAGTGGTAAATGCATCTCTGGGCAGTGGTGACTGGAGGTGGGCAGTGGGGTGTGTTAGCATGTTACCTGGGTTGCTGTAACGGTTATGGTTACTGAAGTACTGCGTGCTTCGATTCTAGGACTAGCTGTATTATATGGGTATGTGCGTGGGGGGGGGGGGATATGTGTCAGGGGAGGGGAGGTGAAGAGATACATCTGGGGAGGGTACGAGAATGGATATGTGTTTGTGGGGGGGGGGGGGAGGAGAAGATGTGCCTGGGGAGGGGAGGGGATGTGTCTTGGGAGGGAAGAGGGACTGTGTCCGGGGAGGGGAGAGGGATGCTTCTGGAGAGGGTGGAGACCTTATGCGTGAGAAAATAGACAAGTGATGGTGTGGTGGTATGCTGATCAATAGTGGAGGTGGCCACATTTTGAAAAACAAACATAGCATAGCAGGTGACATCTTAGAGTGGTAACCTTAGTGTTAGGAGGGAAGCACTGTCAAATGGGCACAGGATATTTGCAAACCTTTCTCATTGAAAATCTTTCCAAATTGGCTTGGCTAAGTTCTACAGCAGATACTCAATCCAGTAGTTATTTCCCAAGTTCACTGCTAGATCAGCTGGACCTGACTTGGAACTTCTGCTTGCTGGCTAGCTGGCTACACAATTCCTTCAGAACGCGTACATAATGAAAGCCATTTTTTTCAAAAGTTGAAGCCAAATTTATTGACATTTGTGAGCATTGAAAATGTGCTCTCCTTCATCATAACCTGCAGTTGTTCTTCGCACAGATTCAGTTTCATTGCATGCACATGCACACACACTCGCACCGCACATGCTTGTCTGCTCTGTCGTCGCCTTGCACGCCCCGGTGACAAAGATGTCCTGTCTGGCAGAGGAGCGGTGATGCCACTACGCCACTGATCAGCTGATGTCCTGTGGCTTCTGACGACGCCCAACTACCGCTCTCGACCGGCGCTGGTACTCACTAGCCAAGATCAATGCCTGCAGCGGTTGACCAATTGGTATAACGCGTAAGACCACCGGTTCGGTGACCATTGTGTGTGTTTTAATTCTTGCATTATTGTTAGATAGGCATTGACATTCTATTATTGACACTGTAATATTGACATTCATAATTCATCATTCGTACTTCCATTCCACACATGCACATTTCCCAAAAGAGGCGGCAGGCATGACCTAGGTATTTTTCTTAGCAGGACATCACGTGGGCACACTCTTCTGGGCTGCACTCAGTACAATACACTTCATTATTTCATTCCGACACAGCACAACATGTGGATTATGCTCGCACTCGTTTGTCCGTGCGTGTACTGTCCAGAGCATGATTCATGAAACACTCGTCAAACGCACTCTCAAATATCTGTAGCTCCCCTTCAGGTCATGGTTACACTTTAAAACATACCTGTGGTTACTTCCATCTCATACCAACCAACTAAAATACTCACACACAGAGCTGGACTTGACCTGAAGTAAAAGAAGTACTCTACTTCACTTTAAAACTCGTGATGATCTCTTGTGTTTGCGGGCATACTCGTATGTTAGTCGTGACTAGGTCCTTCACGTTTGAAAACAAAACAAAAAACATGGTGAGCCCACACACCAGAGTCATGAATACTTCTGAAGTACAAAAACAACCGTCAGTCCAGCTCATCCATGGCCACATAACAACTAGAGTAGACAACTTGCAAGAGTGCGCACCACCACATAAACTTCAGTTCCATGTCTCGTTTGCAGAATTGTGTGATTTTCCATGACCAAAAAGTACGTACTTGACTGTAGACAAAATTGCGTTGCGCGCCATCGATTTCAAATCGCATAGGCATACATGGGGTAAGCATCATGGAAAGTGACGCAATTCTGGAAATGAGTCGTGGCGGAAGTATATGTGGAGCTGCAAAGTCTCGGGAGTTCTGTACTCTGATCAAAAGCTTTAAACATTTCATGATGATGACTGTAGAACAGGATCAGGATGCGGTGTTAGGTGCAGTTTCAGGAAATCTCTACATAAAGCGACAATGCTTATCATCCATAGTCATGGTGTGTGTACGCGTGTGTGTGTGTGTGTGTGTGTGTGTGTGTGTGTGTATGTGTGTGTGTGTGTGTGTTTGTGTGTGTGTGTGTGTGTGTGTGTGTGTGTGTGTGTGTGTGTGTGTGTGTGTGTGCATGAATGAGGTTGTCTGTGTGGGTCCTTATTTGGTGTGAAAATGGCTGCACACCAAGTAGCTCAGTAGTCGTAGTCACCTTGCATGCTAATCCACGAAAGGGAAGTTCAAAATCCGGGAGGGGAATACCCTACCACTAGGCCCCATGCAAGGGATGCCAGGTCATGCCTGTTTCTTTTCATCGCACTATTGAGCGCCTATGCTGCTGTCCGACAAAGAATTTTCTGTGTGCGCCGGGGTCGCCTGTTTCCTCGCTATGCACAGCTGATGTCACATGTTTCCTGCCATCCATCTATTTATATTTCTGGTCGGGTTGATGATAAGCCACGGGTGGTGTTGTAGCTTTGGTTGTTAGTATTGTTGCTGGTGCGATCCCAAGATGTATCAACAATGGCTGGCAAAGCATGCAGCCATCCAGCTTCATTGTCTACCCAGCACGCCAAGGTGACGTCCACAAGGAAGGCTATAACTCATCTTATACCAATTCATACCATCTCATCTTCTAATTCCGATACCATCTCATCTTCTATCAACTCATACCATCTCATCTTCTGCCAAGTCCTGGCCAATAGACCCAGGCTGTTCAAACGCTACTGCACTGGCGATACCTAGCTGGATATGGAGGTACAGCGGATACAACATCTACTACTTCACTACTACTTCAAGCTACCTTATTAGCAGTCATAACATTAACGGATTTGAAGCATCCAGCATGATTTGGAAAGATCTGCCTAACTGGATCATTCAGACGGAACGATGGTCTGCAGTACAAGGTTCTTGAAGGGCAC